CTTTCTGAGCCTGGTCTTTACCAGCAGAATTTCTATCAGCCTTCTGGTCTTCTAAGCTCTGACCAGAATCTCCCATCAAGTACAGCCTAAGGCATTCCAGCTCTACTTTTTCAGATGGCATCCCTAAGCCTTTCCTAACTCTTCCCCTTATCATAAGCCAGCTCTGGAGGCTCCTAAATCACATGGTCAGATATGGTCACAGCATCGACCTGAATTCCTTGGTACCAAATTCTGTCTTAGTTACTTTTCTGTCATTGCTGAGACAAAAATACCCAATATCCACAAGTTAAGGGTGGACAAGTTTATTTAGCTCACCGTTTATACAGGTTTCAGTCCATCATTGGCTGGCTCCAAGGCAGGGTGGCATGGTAGACAGGAATTGCAGAGGAGAAATAGTTCATGATGGGCAAAAGGTAGGAAAACAAGCAAGGGAAGACCATACCTCTTTCTGTCTCATATTTTATCCCAGGTCTTTAGGGAAGGCAGCACTCACACCCTTAATCTTAGTGCCCTTGATCCTAGCATTGCACCAAGAATCAATTTCAGCGTCACAAACTTTAGTTCCAGCCACTTCTGAAAAAGCCTCATCTATGACCACATAAAGCTGTGTTGGGGGGCATCTAGATACAAGCCATAACATTTTCTAAGACTCCAATAAGTTGTATATTAGACTTTTTCTTCTACTATTTTCCATATTCCTTAACTTCTCTAATAGTTAATCATCACTGTCAATTTGATTGGATTTAGTGATACCTGGGAGATTAGTAAGGCACACTTCTGGGTGTGTCCAGGTGGGTCTATGAGGGTGTTTCCACAGATGATTTGAATTTGAATCAGCAGACTGAGAGGGAAAGCCTCATCCCAAGTAGGTTAGGAACCCAGATGGAACAAAATCAGGAGTAAGAAGTCAATGCTTGCAAGCTTGATTCTGCTTAGTGGGTGCATCTTTTGCTCTTTCCATCACCCATGGGCATCAGATTCTAATTTCTTTAGCTGTTCAACGTGAACTCACACCAGGGACTTCCCAGGGAGTTTCCAGGTCTTCAGCCTCATACTAAGGCTGCCTTATTGATCTCTCTTGTTTTATGAATTTTAGTTTCTTAGACTGACCAGCTATTGGTCTTTCTGGCTCTCTTTCTTTGCTTTTTAGCTGCCATAAGGTGAGATTTGCTCTGCCATGTTCTCATCATGATGTTCTACCTTGCCATAGGCCCATAGCAACGGAGCCAAGTGGCCATGAACCAAAATCTCTAAACCATGAGCCAAAACAAACCTTTCTTTCTTCAAGTTGTTATTCTCAGTTATTTTTGTCACAGTGACAGAAAGTTAACACAGAAAAAAAATGTTACTAAGAATTGGAGTCATTGCTGTGACTATACATGAACACGTGGTCCAGAAGCCTGTGGAACTGGTTTGCAAGATGAATTTTGAAAAGTTCAGAGGATTGGGCTGGTGAAGTCCTAGAATGCTGTAAGCAGAGCTTAATAGTCAGTTGTGGTGTGAATTCAGAAGACTAAATGCCAACAGGAATTTAGACAGTAAAGACTGTGTTCATGAGGTTTCAGATGAGAATGATAACTCTATTGGGTATTTGACTAGAGGTGATTTGTGCTACATTCTGGAAAAAAAATTCTAGTCTACATTTTGTCCATGTACTGAGACTTTCTGTGAGGCTGAATTTAGAGGGGGTGGACAAGTTTATTGGCAGAAAAAATTTCAAGGCAACAGGGCATCAGGCAGTGGCATAGATTTCAGCCAGATTTATAGTGAGAATTGTGAGAAAAAAAGCACAACAGGAAGATTTGAAAAATGTGCAGTTTGGTCAAAAAAGAAGCATGTTTAAATTCATTGGCCAAAGAAAGTGTGGGTGTTGAAGAGATTAGTGCTATTAAAAAGAAGCCAAGCACTTTGCCCTGGGGTGATAGGAAAGATGCCTTGAAGACATTTCAGGAATCAGCAAGACACTACACATTGCAGGTTCAATGATGGAAAGGTGAAAACTTATTGAAAAGACTACTTTGAGAAGAGAAGAGGCAGCATTCTCGTCTCACAGGGTTGCCCATGGAATTGTTTCCCCAGAAGTCATTTCACCATGCTTAGCAGTTCAGACACTCGGAGGAGGACACCACAGCCATGGTCCAAGTGGGCCCCGCTACTGCTCACGCCAACAGAAGACTTTCACCTTGTCAGTATGAGGCTGGTGTTGGAGGTATACAAAATGCAGGAGGTATGAAGTCATGAAGGCTTCCACCAAGATTTTAAAGGAAGGTTTGTAGGCCAAGTGATATGTGACAGGTGGGAATCCCTGTGGTCAATCCCTGAGAGGGCAATGCATAAAGCTGTGAGAGTAAGACCAAAGATACAATGGAGAGCCACGAATGTGGAAGGTCTGCCAAGAAAAACTGTAGGCAATGAGCAGAGGCAGTCCAAGAGGGAGGCCATGTGGGCTTCAACCAGCAAAGCCACAGGGGCAGGGCTGCCTAAGTCCTTTGGAACTCACATCATGCCACCATGTGCCACAGATGCTGGACACAGAGCTGCATGATTTAATGTTTGCTCTGCTAGGTTTCAGTCTTGCTTTGGTCTCATCTCTCCTTGCTATTCCTCTATTCTTCTCTTTTGGAATGGGAATATTTACTCTGTGTCAGTGTATCTTGAAAATTTGTAACTTTGTTTTGTATTTAATAGGGGCTCATAACTAAAAGTTGACAGGAGTTTCAAAGATTGTAGAACTGGGCTTTTTTTTTGAGACAGGGTCTCCCTGTGGAGGGCTAGTTTTGAACTCAGCTCTTTAGTTCAGGCTGGTTTCAAACTCATGGTGACCCTCCTGCCTCAGCCTCCCAAGTGCTGAGGTATTACAGGTGTGTGCCACCATGCTTGGTTGGACTTGGACTTTTGAGCAATGCTGGAACTGTTGAGACTTTGGGGACTCTTGGAAGTGGACTGAATGGATTTTGTATTTTAAGATGTATATGAGACTTTGGGGCCCACGAGTGGAGTGTTATGATTAGCATCTGCACTATCACCCTGAAGACTCAAGTTTTGGAAACTTGGCCCCCAATGTAGCAATACTAGAAATGAGGATTTTGGAAGGTGATCAGATCATGAGGGCTGTAACTTCATCAATTTATGGATTCATAATGTGATGACATTATTGCAAGGTGATGGAAACCTAGGCGATGGAGCCTAGTTGAAGGGAGTGGGTCATGGGCATAGGAACTTGATGACTATATCTTGTCCCTGCTTCCCCCTCTCTGCTGGGTGTCATGAGGTAAGAAGTTTTGCTTTACTGCATGCTCCACGCCATGATACTCTGCCTCATCACAGACTCAGAAACAATGGAGCCAAGTGACCAGGGACTGAAACCTGATTTGCCCAGGTATTTTGTCACAGTGATGAAAAGTTAACACAGCTTTTTTCTTATTTATTATTTCCTTATATGGCCGTCTATACTGCTTTCTGAGTAACTTCCAAATTCTATTCCAACATTACTCTAATATTATAATCATATAAAGACATCAGAAGGAAAACCAATGTACAGACAAAAGTTCTACAGAAAAAGGATTTGATAAACCCATCATCCACTCTTGATAAAAGTCTCTTAGTGAACTAGAAGAGAACTTTCTCAATTCAATGAAGGCAACTACAAAGGAGCAATAGCTAACATCACAATTATTGCTAAAAGGATGAATTTTCCTCTCCCAAGATCAGTGTTTGGTCCATTTGTGTCAAATTGTTTTACTGTAACAGAATACCTGAGACTGGGTAACTTATATAGAGCAGATATCTATTTCTTACTATTCTGGAGGCTGTAAAGTTCAAAATTGAGGCACTGGCGCCTTGTTGGAGCCTTCTTGATGCATCCTCACATAGTATAAGGTGGAAAGCTAAGAGAAGATAAATGTATCCTCACATGGAATAAGAAGAGGAAGCTAGCTGAATACTGTGTGAAGCTTCTTTTATAGTAACTTGAATTCCACTAATGAGGCAGAACCTTCAAAGCTAAATCAACTCTTAAAGGGCCCACATCTTAATACTATCACATTGGCAATACATAAATTTTGGAGTGGAAGCATTCAAACCACATTATATAGGAACAAAGCAAAATATAGCTGTGGCTGTAGATAGATAGAGCTAGATTGATATAGATAGCTATAGATATAGATATATTTATAGTTAAAAAGACAGTAGTGGAAAAACAAGTTCTTTAGGGAGCCGATATGAAGTGTATATATATTGCTTTGGGTTTAACTCATGTCAGTAGGCTTCAAAGAGAAGAGAGAATTTGAAAAAAAGTTGGAAAGATTAGTGAAAGAGGTAAACTGAAGGCTGGTGGACCTGATAAATGACCTGAAGTCTGTTCTGGAGTGAAATTTTCGCATCCTGCTGCTCTTAGGCTAGGTAGACACATTGGGCATTCTATATTGGCAAGAAGAAAGATGGAAACTACACTATGTTTCAAACCATGGCCACAGTAAAGGAAAAATCTATTTTAAAAATCCAAGTTTTCTGGTTCCTCTTACCTTTCTGAATAGGCCTTTCTCTAAATTACCCTTAAATATTGCTATTCCTTAGAGCTCTGCCTGAGACATTTTTTCTCCACATCTGACAAATTCTTGAATGAGCTAATGTATCACAATGTTTTACACTATTCTGACATCTTCCGCATTATTTTCTTTATACTAGATTTCCCCATTCTAAGCCTCAGATCTTAAAACACATCCTCCCAGCGGATATATCTGTATACTACAGATAACTAAGTAAAAATTATATTAAAATGATATCAAAATCATGTAATGATAAGGAAGAAAAATTCTTCCACAGAAGCAATGGTAATAGTGACCAAAATGATGAGAATCAACTTTTTTGGGTATCTACAAATTAACCAAAGGTTTTCAGGAATCATAGAATATTTATTGAAGAAAAATAGCTAAGTTGTGATAAGATCAGCACGCTCTGTGATGTTTTAATTTACTATATTTTCATCCCCTTCTCTCTAGCTCTGGAGCAACCTTGAAAACTGACATCCACACATGTTCATGTGGCAAATAATGAGTTTTGTAGCTACTAGAGAAGGAAGAATGAAGTTGAAGCTCCTTTGAAGATGTGTACCAATATCATTGTAACTATTTGACCTATGTCATGGTTTCCTGGGAGACTCCATTCATAAACCTTATCTTCATTTGACCTGATTCAGAGCTTGCTTTTTTACTGAGGATGTTTATTGAAAATAATAAGTGGTAGTTGTTTAAAATTATGGCTGCCTGCTAAAGTGGATAAAAGTTGGGGCAATCATATAGGCTGACAAAAAAGGGCTTAAAATAAAAACTGAGGAAATGAAAGGTCCATCTTAATCACTATCTTAGTCACTTTCTCATTACTTGGACAAAATACCCAACACCCACAAGTTAAAGGAAGAAAGGTTTAGTTAAAGGTAAAGGAAGTTAGCTCACAGTTTGTAGAGGTTTCAGTCTGTACTGGGCTAGTTCCAAGGCAGGGCAGCATGGCAGAGGAGAAGCAGTTCACAGCATACAGACAGGAGGCAGAAAAACAGTGAGCCTTCCTTTCCCTTTTTATTCCATTCAAGCTATAAGCCTATTGGTTGGTGCCACCTACAACCAGGGTGGGCATTTCCATTATCCATACACAGAATTATACTAAACCACTCATTAATCCACCATCACACACCCATTATCCAGCCACCTCCATGGTCTATGCATCTATGAGTGCATGAAGCTTTGGGGGGAGGATCCAGATATAAGCCATAACAGTTACTTTTTCATCACTAAAATGCACTACCTGATATCCATCACTTAAAGGAGGGAGATTTATTTTTGTTCACTATTACAGTTCACAATTGGTTGGCTCCAGGGCAGAAGCAGAATGGTAGAGGGGCATCAGAGAGGAAAGCTGCTTACATAGCAGCATCCCAGGAATCAGGGAGAGTTGAGAACAGTCGGGGGGGGGTGATCTATCCTTCTAGGTTATGTCCTCAATGACCCGCCTCTTACAACCAGACTCCACCTCTTAATAGCAAGCCAGCTATGGACCAACCCACCAATGAATATGATCCAATAGCTTGCTAAACACATGAGACTTTGGGGGACAGTTGTGTTCCAAACTATAATAGGTCTATAGGTGTTTTGATAAATTCTTCCAGACTCTTGAGAATCTAGAAGACCATATATATATATATATATATATATATATATATATATATATATATGGAGAGATCTGAGGAAGACCAAAACTTTCACCTAAAGCTGACTCTGAGACTCTCCATAGGCAAGCAAAGAAAACAAGGACAGTCTGAAATCATCTAGCTAAGTGTTGAGAGGTTTCAAATGAACACAGAGCCCTTCAACATAGCCTGGGAGACTTCTTGGTTCCAAGAACTTAAGGAAATCTCTTTCTAATCATTATCTTACTGCCAAGCTACCCATGCAGAGACTTCAGTGGTCAACAGGCAAAGAATATAAATTTTACACAATTACTTCTGTTATAAGTAAACAAGCAAACAGCAAAGATAACAAAACTGAATAGCAGCAAAAATATACCCTGACTTTAAAGATATGGAAATACAATTAATGAAATAAAAAGTGTGGAGTTGAACCAAAAATGCACTAGAAGAACTTGATGGCAGAAATGAGCGGACAGAAGATAGAATTAGTGACCTTCAAGATAGGTTAGTTGAGACTAACATGAAAGATGAACAGAAACAGACAGAAGTTCTGCAGAAAAAGGATTTGACAAACCCATCATCCACTCTTGATAAAAGTCTCTTAGTGAACTAGAATAGAACTTTCTCAACTCGATGAAGGCAACTATAAAGGAGCAATAGCTAATATCACAATTATTGCTAAAATGATGAACAGAAACTCAGATACTTGTTGAATACAATCAAGAATACTAACATAGACCCAATGGAAAACCCAGAAGCAGAGGAGAGAAAGAATGGAGCATATATTTGAAGAAATATTCTTGAAAATCCTGAATTTCATTGTGTGAAATTTTAGAACTAAATGAAAGGATACAGTACTAGATAGTAACTTGAATCCACGTGAAGAAATACATAGATCAGTAAACTAACTATATAGGTAAATATAAAAGACAATATAATTGTAGTTTTTCTTTGTTACTCTTTGTTTTGATTATCTCCTCTTCACTCCACTGGTGAGGGATGGAGCCACAGCCTAGCATGGTGGAGAAGGCTGAATATGTGGCCTCTGATGCTGGACAGATGAGATTGACAACAGTTTATTAGTCACATACATTCATCACCAAAGGGAGGGGAACACCACATGCAAACCTCAAGGAAGTCATACTTGGAGCTAGAATAAACAAACAGGGTTTATGGGAGGCAAACTTTGAAGTATCAAGATGTTTTAATGGCCCTTGGTTCCCACAGAAGGGTGTAATTGTTGTATTTGAATAATTTCATGGACTACCAGGGACTGACACCTGCTACTTAGAGACAAGCAAGAACTGTGCCTGGTTCCCATGATAAGGTGAGCTGTTTTTGTTTTTGTCTTCGTCTTTGTTGATCTACATGGGCAGAATGAGAAGGGAGCTTGTGATAAGACTATATGAGGCCCTCATGATTTTTTCCAGATGTCAAAGAAGTAATTAATATTAACTTTAGTGCCTACATCACAATTGACTCTTTATTATCTTGACATCAATTTAAACCTTGATGATGACTTAGAAGTAGATGAAGTGTCTTTCTAGGAAGTGAAGTAGGCACTCGACCAAAAGGAATGCTCATGCCGCAACATTAAAGGGGTCCTCCTTTATGGTCAATAATGGCATTTGAGGGACTTATGCAGTACTGGTTCCTGGAACAGGTATCCCCAGGGACATGAATTTATAGGACCTGAAGAGAAACTGAGTATGTGGGTATGAATTTAGACTAATCAATGCTGTGGCAAGAGTCACACTCAGTGGGGGTCCATTTTCCACTTTGTGACTTAAGTAAGAAATCTCTGAGGAGCCCATTATAGTTTCAATTAAACCAGTTGCCTGGGGTCTATAAGGGAGGTGGAAGTTCTATTAAATGCTGTCTCCTCAAGCCCATCATTATTCTGAGAAGTGAAATGAATGCCTTTGCCACAGTTAATAACGTCTGGAATTCCTAAAGGGATGCAGAGTGTCTTGGTAAGATCATGAACTGATGCTTTCATATATGTAGAGATATATGTAACTTTGATTTTTATTTTGAGTATCCATGAGGCCAGAGAGTCCCTCTTTATCCTGAAAGAGGTAACTTTAAGGCAATGGCCCAAAAATGTGCATACAGGACCATTTGTTCACCAGGACATCCCAACGTTAAGGTGACTGCCTGACCTGGGTGCAGTAGTGAGCACCTATAATCCTAGCACTCTGGGAGACAGGCAGTGGGACTGAAAGTTCAAATTCAAGCCTGGGCAATGTAGCGACTTGGTGAGACCTTGTCTTAAAATAAAAAATAAATAAAGAGGGTTGGGGACATAGCTCAATGTGAAGGCCCAAGATTAAATCCTCAGTACAAAAATTACATAAAAAGTGACTGCCTGAGGTGTGGCCAATTGCTCTGATTCCTGTCTCATTGTTTTCATGGACATCCTGGTTATGAGAAGCAGCAACATTTTACTGAACTCCATCACATATTATGAATTCTCTTATTGATCACTCATTTGCTCCTAAGGGATCCCCGGGAGGCCAAGGGCCTGGGGTGAATCATACATCTGGTAAATGACTGACGATAGAGGAGGCGAGTGCCTCCTGTGGGTGGGATCTACTAAAAGGCTCAGGTTTGGCTTCGTTCTGTAGAAAGAAGGCCTCAGTGCCTGTGCTGTGCTTGTGGGTGCTGCTTCCATGACCCAAAGCATAATGGACAGCCAGGTACAGAAGGTTAAAGACTCAGAAAGTGTGAGAGCTTTGATTTTTCAGGAGAGGCAAGCATGTAACCAGCAACTGCTTCTTCAATAATGTACGGTGCATGTCTGAGAAGGAGGGCAACCTATGGACAAATTATGGTCATTACAGGAGGTCTAGAGACCCCAAGACATCCTAGAGGAGGTTGCTGAAGCTTCTATGGTGAAGGAGTCTGTGAAGGCACTAACATGAGTGCCTGCTGATTTCACTGTAGATGTATTCGAGAGCCTTTTGTTGGAGAAAGTGCCATTCACGGTGGGTGATTTGTAAGAAACAGCATCAATGAAATTAAGTAAAATTTGTAAATGAGGAATATATTGCTTTCAGGACACAAAAAGTACTAAAGGGTATTCGACTTCTACTAAACTATAGGTGTTAAAAGGGTCAGTAGCTCTTTTTAGACACTGTCAGGGTGGGGTGGTTTACCAGATAATTTTTAGAAATTTAAAACAGGTGGTGGGGCCTTGCACTATGTGTGAATCAATGGTCTGTGCCCCTTTCATGAGCCCCTTTGTATTTGTACATCCTTCACAAATGTGCCAAATGAATTTCCCTGAAGGAGAGAGCCATCAATGTAATGTCACACCTGTGTCCTTAGAGAAAGATGAATGTAGTTGGGATCTTGACTGAAAAAGTAATGTGCAATGGTAAGGCCTAGATAAGGCATATTATATCCTTTAGGAGATGAAGACAAACTGCAGCTGAAACGTTGTTGAAACAGACATTGAAGAGAACATACTACCCAAATATATAACAGCAAAATATTCACTGCTTGCTGATTGGATGGAATCAGTAATTCCAATTATAAGGGGCCTGGGTAGGAGAACCTTAATGGATGATACTACAACATTGAGGCTGTAGTTATCTGCTGTGAAGCACGATTTACTCATTTTAGGCTTGAGAACAGAACAAATTGGGAAGCTAAATGGAAAAACAGTGGAGATAATTACCCCTTCACTAATTTGGCTTTATATAATAAGTTTGAATCCTTGAAGGACTTGTTTTAAGTTATACTGGGCCATGTTAACTATTTTGACTAGGGGATTCAGGGCATCTCATTTAGTTGAGCCAAGTTTTAAGTGACAAAGATTTCATTTAACTTTATCAATCACTGTGACAAGTGTCCCTGGTCAGTACAGGATGTTTTATGGTAATGACTGCTATGATCATGGAGAATTTAGGCAAAATAATAATAGTAATTCTGATAGATAAGATGAGGCATACATATTTGTCCTCTATTTATAGCCAGTAATTCTCTTAAGATTATAAGGGG